CCCCAAAACCCCAAAACCCCAAAACCCCTCTAAGCTAATACATATAGAGATTTAAAATTTAGTAATCGCAACTGATGTTATATCGATTTTAAGTAGAGGGATCAATCAAAGTATCTCAACTATACTTCTATCAAGATCATATTATTGACTAATCTCCTCAAAGGTTCTATCGAACACCTCATTCATCATTGGAGGGCCACAAACCCATATCTTCTTAATTTGCTTATTTTGAGTGAAAATCTCAACTTATCTCTCTATAAACTAGGCATTCCATCGCTCGCTCATAAATTCATTACTAAATCTCAAAATCAACTCAAAGTTTTTCAACTCCTACATTTAAGTAATTTTTTGGAGTCCTTAGAGGAGCTCTAGTCCAATACTGTCCTCTGGGCTTGGGAAAGAAGCATACAAGACAAATTTGAAGTTTTTCTAATCAAGAATTTGATTGTCTGAGCCTTACAATAAACCCAAATTTTATCTTAATATAAAAGCAACCAGGTCCATAAAGACCAGGATACCAGTACCAGCAACGAAGGCTAAATGGGTGCCTTATCTTTGAACATCTAATCCTTTACCCATTAAAGCTTTAATCTCAAATACATCTTTTTACTAGTGAATTAGCCTTGATAGACCACTTCTAGTATCATAATTCTTGATAGTTAGGTAGATATCAGCATTATCGTTATAGGAACTCTAGTTTATAAAACTTTCATCAATACCTTGGATATCTTAGTTGCTAGTGAATTTCTCTATATTTTTCACATACTATTCATATATGTGCTTATTCATGCAAGAAGCTAATGTGTATTGTCTCTTAACTCTGGGATTTGCAATTGATTTAACTAGGAAATGCTTTCCAAAAGTACTAATGTCATTGCTTGCTGGTAGTTAGAATTATATTAGATTCCCAGCTTGCTTCTGTATTCTAAATGTAAAGGTTGCTGTTGTAGAGTTGACATCACTTTTTTCAACGATTCTAGCCATAAACTAGAAGGGTTTCTAGTCAATTCTTGCTATTATTAGGGAATTCACAATCTTTCTAGCGACATTAGAATGATAGTGAGGACTCAAGCCACCAGAATTTTCTAGGATATAACCTCCATAGAAGTATTTGCTAATGTCTCTTCCGACATTATATTCCATCACAAACCTACCTCCAGGATGATTAGACATATACTTTGACACATCTAAGACAAGATCGTCAAGCAGTACATACTGTGATCCATTTTAGATTTTGGATTTAAACTCTTCCATGGTCATAATTTCATCTGGAACTCTGAAGGGCTGCTCTTGAGTTTTGTATCTTTAATGTATAATCTCAATTACAAATGACGTCAGGAAGAATATACTTATGTGAGTGATTGGAAGAGGCTTCATATACTCTGCCCAAGTTGAGTACTTAAGGCCACCAGTTAAAATAGAGAATTGAGAGAGTGTGATGAGAGCAAGTCCAAACATCTATAAGCATTTGAATTAATATAATGAGATAAATATGGAAAGAACTTACTCTGTGACCAAACTTGATCTTTAATATAAGATGAGTCTTCCATCTGAGTCTGTTCATCATGCTTCTGGTAAATACACCTCCCAGTACTATGAGAGTGACTGTAATTGTTACTATAAAGCCAATTATAGTGTGAAGACTATTGACTACTTCCCAGTCAGCTTTGGACACTGCTATAAATCCAAAGACCAATGTAAGAATCCATATTATAGACCCTGAGAGTCTATGCACCCACATGTTAACTTTCCAATACATCTTAAGGTATCTGTTTGAAGCCAGTTGAATCAATCCAAACAAACCCCATGATACCCACATTAGCCAGCCATGATATACATAAAAGTCAAAAGAATCATCCTCAGAATATCCTTCACCGCTTGCATCAGAGATACCCCCACTAAGATCGACAAAGATTTTAAAGATGCCTCTGTTATCACCACCGTGATATTTCAATGTAACTGACTCGCTTGATTCAAATTGCCTGAAGGCGTAAATCATGTTGACAAGAGAGTTCTAAAAATTATTAATTGACTTGCTTGAATAAGGATTTTCTGAAATTGAAGGAACTTACTAGGGATAAAGTTTTGTCATTAACGTCATCTGGTTTAAATTTTCTGTAAGCTGTAAATTCCACATGAGTCCCATTTTGCTTGAAGGTGCTAGCAAGATTTTGATTGTCTTGCTTGGTTGGTCGTGTTGCTCTGGGTGAGAAATATTCAGCCGCATTAGATTGAGTACCATCAGCGATGAAAATCATGATCTAAGCATTAGTCATCGATTGGCCAAAACCCAAACCTAGGTAGGTTTTATCAGGCTGTACTGTATTGATCTTCAAATATTCTTGGCCGTCCAGCAAGTTCTTAACCACACTGATCTTTACATTGAATTCTTTTCCGAATGTTTTCATCAGTGTCTTATCTGATAAATCCTGGTACTACTATGCACTGACATTTGGGGGCCTTAAAGAGGCCGAAATTGTTAAGAGTATCAAAACTGATATCCAACTCATTTTTAATATATATTCAAATATAGAGTGATATGAATTAAATCATTCCTAATCTCATTAATAATAATTCTGATTATTTTGAATAAACATTTTCTACCTATTTCTTAATGAAATATTATCTTGGGGTTTTGGGGTTTTGGGGTTTTGGGGTTTTGGGG